AGCTAAGCACATACAGGAGATAGACGTATTTCTCGAGGGACAGCCCCTAAAACTTAGGGGTTCAAGTTAACTGTTTTTCATTAAGCCCAGTTTACCAGGAAATCTGCGCGTCAATTAGCAGTCCTGTACTAACCTGCTTGGGACATAGGAGTCTTGCCCTGACTGTGACACCCACACGTAGCAGAGACACCAAGCTAAGAACCAGATAGAAACGCTATATAAGACGTGCCTGCTGACCTAGCCCTTTTAAACGAATTGTTGGCCATTAGTCTTAGAAAGCTTTCAGATGGAATCCCTAGGGGACAGGAATACTGATCGATGTATGGAAGTCCATGCATTCTGCTGGCAATGGCATAACACAGATCAGGTCGTGATGAGCTGTTTGCTCTTCCTACCTGGCCGTGCCCCTGACGAAGGGCACGCTCATCGCCATCCCGCACCCGGCTCACGTGGTCAAGCGCTGTATCCGTACTTCTGTTATCAAGCTGCCCATCACGGTGAATGCTCTACCTCGTTTTCAGTAAAGGCTGCAAGGGTGCTGGGTGCATGGCTGGGCATGTTAGACGCGTCTAGGGGAAAGCGAGCAGCAGGCAGTAGAAAACTGTTGGTTTCCTCACCTGATTGAAGAAATGGCATTAATTAAATGTCGCTTGCGAATTAAAGGGCGAAGTTGTATGTGACTAAAGAAACTAGAGACACGAACATGTCTTGCAGTGGCTGCTTTTCGTGTCTTTTCTCCAAGACAAAACCCCAGGCCTCTTTCTGCTCACTGTCTGTGGCTGTTCTGTTCGTGCGACACACCAGGAGGATACACTTTACGCACCCAGACTCAACTCCCTGAAATTACAGTGCCTTGTCACAAACATCTGCTTCAAACGTATTCCAAGTGGCTACGTCGTGACACACCAGCTCAGTATGTCACCCAGCGTGGCACCCCAGCCCACCAGAGAAGCAGCGTCCAGTGAGCAGGCGGGAACGACTGTACATTTTTCCAGGGCATGAAGGCTAACTCTAATGGGACTTGGCATTTGTTTCTGAGCATCCTCAGGGAGCAGGTATTGGCAGAGAGGCAAGCTGAATATTCTCCTTGCATTTCAAAAGGAAAGTCTTCCCAAATTGCAGAATAAACAAGAAAACAATGCAATGCAAAAACATCAGGAAGAAGAAAAGAAGGTTAATTAGAACCATTTCTTCTTAAAACAAGCAAGTGTCCATATTGTTTCATTTTGTTTATTGCAGTTGAACCTGGGTCAGTTTTGGATGCATTTTCCACCATCTTTGAACACTATTTTAGTATCTTCTGATATTCCTCTATCTGAGAGAGTAGGGATTATACATATAAATCTGGAAGGACTGTGAGATGGACTCGCCAGGGGAGAGCTTGGCAGGGGAGGAGGAGGAAGAGAGGGAATTTACTTTTAAAAAATTATTTTAGGGCCATTTAAAATCTGGTTTTTAGCTCCCATTGCTTCTATCCCCCTGCCAAAGAAACGCATTTCCATTGGGAATTAAACCAAAGTGGATTCCATGGGCAATTAGCTGCCCACTTCACAAGTGTCTTTCTAAGGATCTTTCATGCCTTATAAAACATACTCATTTCACTTTTCGTTTTGCATGGTATTTTCAATGCTTTTTTCGTTTACCCTGGTGAGTCTTTCAATTTAGCCAGACATCCTGAATTAAACCAAGGAATGCTAAGGTCTGATTCCTGCTAAAATGATGGGCTTTCTTTTTATCTCGCTTCATTGCTTTGGAGTGCAAGGTGAGTAAAGAAGACAAAAATGTTGGCCAGCTTTATTTACCTGCTTATAACTGAGCCCATTCTGGTAGGACTGGAACTGAGCTCATGGGTGCAGTTCCAAGTTCTGCTGAGGAACTGCATGACGTACGTGCCTGCCTTGGTCACATAAGAACTCAATGGCAAAAATAAGAAATTAATTGTATTTCTCAATGTAGGACATGTAACTATGCCATTTCCATAACTCTGGATATAAATTTCTCTTTGGAAATGATGCAAATATTTAACTTTTCTCACGTACACAGTAATGCCTCTCTTCTGCTAGCAATTATAGATGAAGGCCAGGATATTTTAATATACATTTCTATATATCCCCCAATAAATTAAAAATGTAACTTTTTGTGTGGCTTTTGCTATATACTTTTTCTCATGGGAGAGAAAATATTGCAATTCAAAACAAATTTAGTACCTTCGAAGCAGCTGAAAAAAAGTAGTTCATTATAATATCAGGGCTATGTCTGGAAGATAGCTAGGGAAAGTCAGGCTCAGTACAGCCAAAGAGATACAGCTGTCTTAATCCAAATAAATCTGTGCTGGAGAAAGGGGAAAGGAAATATGAAAAATATCAAAACTGCATACATCTCATGTTTAAATGTTTCCACAGACACCTAATCGAGCTTGAAGGTTAATCTCTAATTCAAAGAATAGGAAATACCAAGGAAACATTTACAAGGCCACAGGTCACTAGGGGAATACAGTAGTCTGACTTCGTAAATCACAAGCAAGCAATGTTAACTGTACCCTTAGTGCCTTTTATCTCATTTTCAAGGCACTGTACATCCGCTGCATATTTTTAAAATGCTGGTTGTGATCAAAACGATGTAGGGAGGAACATGCGTAACCATGGGGACTAATAAGAAGAGACTTTCTGTGGTCATGCTTGAGGAGATCCCAAGAACTGTAGCCACTGAAACCCACAGGCAAAAGTTTTACATGGCATGGCAGCCACTGCATCACCTTATTCTGTTCTGCATTTGAAGTTACATTAAAAGTATCCCAAAGTCATTGCCTCCCCCAGTATTCACCATGCAGAAGTGAATGTGGCCATCAGGCTATTTCCTGAAAGAGGAGGTGAATCCATCAGTGCTTTTAATTCTTCTTTCAAGGCCATCGGAAACCACACTTCGCTTCCAGAAATACAATTCCAGGGTGAGGTTCAAGGAACTGCTTAGGTAGATGTGTCAACTCCCCTGCCGAAAGCTGAGAGGGTTAACAGCGGCAGGAGGTCATACGGCAGGAAAGAGCAAGTCTTCGCAGGCTGAGTCCACAAGTTGTTTGAAGTTCGATGGTGGAGTAGGGCAATGGGGAGGGGAGGATAGCTACGAAGGGAAATAACTGGGAGGGATGAAAAGTGTTAAAATGCTCCTGAGCATCTGGAGAGGGCTGCAAATGGTAACCTGTCCCTAAGCTGTGTTCATTTTTGCTGTTGCTGCTTTTTGCGAGTCATGTAAATGTCTCCAACACCCCACCCCCCCTCCCAGGTTCTAAAATGGGAATGACACCTCAGGGGGATGCCTGTGAGATTTAATCAGCTGTCATTTACCGACAGTCACCTTACTTTTCCAGATGCACTTCTGAAATCAAAGAGAAAAATCTTTATTGTTAGGAAATTTAATGGTTTGTTGTCTATATGCAGTGCACATACAGAGTATGTAAACATCATTTAATATCTTCAGAAGTGACTGGGGAATGGGAGCCCTCATTTTGATTTTCAGCGAGTATCTGGAAAGCCTGTGCATCGTGCGAGCTGTGAGAACCTCTCTCTGTTCTTTTGCTGACTTCTATGGAAATAAAAGGTTTGTACTGCAAATCACAGCCCTTCCAAGGGGGTCTTGACTCACTTGTGGTTCAAAACAGAAATCTGCAGTTCTCGAGCACCAGCTGTAATTTGATTACGGTAGAAGTCTGGATATAATTCTAAGTTTCTGAGTTTTGAATAGCTTAAAATAACTTCCAGGTAGCAACGATGTTACTGCTCTGAAAACTAATTACTCGTCAACAATATCGATCAGATTGCTTGTGTAAATAGTTATCCAGGCACATGCAGTAAATGAGAAAATCTGTCCCTTTGACTCTTGTGTTCCCCAAGTTTATATCAGTGGACCCTCCTCCCTATAAACCCTCTCCCCTACATCTTCTGTCGGATTTCTTTTGGATTTACTGCACAGTGGCCTAATAGGAGTTTGCGCACCTCTCTGCAAACAGTGGGCGGTTTAGCCGAGTTGCTTGTGCCGGTTAGCTGTACCAGTACAGACCCTGGGGATGTTACCCTCAGTGTGGGCGGGAGGGGAAGAGGAGAGGCTGCTGTCTGCCCAGAGACCATGGTCCCATGTCATGGTCCCATGGTCCAAAGACATCAGAAAGGGCAGGCATCCTGAGACCATCCCCGCTTCTGCTGAAGCCTTGCCCACGGTCTGTATACTGGAATTTGATTTTTGGCTTGACAGGGCTCCCCTGTTGAGACTTTAAAGGCTTGCAAACGCTGCTAGTATCTCATATGAAAACAAATCAACTAGGGTTTGGCAAGGGGTGTGGAGGAGATTTATAAGGTGTCTGTCATGGCAAGAAATACTGTCAACAACTCATGCAGCCAAATACTGTCCTAGTTACTCCTTATGGATGAAAATGCAGACGGTGCTTCTGAAATAACATCTTTGGCTGTTTCTATCTCCTGGCTTATAAAGTGACATTCCACAGAGTTTAAGCACGGCAAAGCAGCGTGGGCCATTTGCTCGGAGAGCTATCATGTCTTCAGAACAAAAGATAAAAGAGATAAATAGCCAAGTACAATATTGTACCTCAACAACCTAAAAGCCAATCTCAAAACTGAATGGAAGAATGGAGAGCTTTTATTTCTTGGGTTTTTAAAGAGTAGAGCTCAGCGATTTCCTTTGAAAGCTATTCAACAAGCTTCCCTAAATCCTGTTACAACTTAATGTGAAATGCGTCTGTTTCCATAAGAACAACAGTGGTACCATTCATCCTTTGTAGTCTGTCCTTTGCTGTGTTTTCTATCTATTCTTGTAGATTTTTCCACTCTAATAAACCAAACACAAAACAAGAACTGATAACATTTTAGCCATTTATTTATTAAGTTGATGATGGAAATTCAGTTTGTTCCTGCTTGCTGTCTCAATCGTGCCAAATTAAATTATTGTTGAAGGAGTTTATAACGTAAAGAAATGGTTTTGATACTGCCCCGATGTTTCTTGAAGGTGAAGTCTGTATCCAGCTACAGGTACTTATCTGCACCTACTGCGAAGATGGATATACTCTCTGCATGCGTGTATACGTAGAGACTTCTCGCTGTTACTGAGATCCACTGCAATGTATTCAGCCTGTGTTACTTACATCAGTTCAACATCAGCTCAGTACTGCATAACTTTTTTTAAAACTGTGCATGTAGCTCTAAATATAATATTTATCTAAAGCATGACCAAGTTGGTAGATGAGACATTTTATCCGACGTACACTGTTTAACTGAATTCAGCACACTGTGAGGCATATTAATTCTTAGAAAAATATATATTTAGAAAACCTTAGGCAAATGGAGACTAGAAAGAGCAAGATGTAACACGTGTTTTATTAATGCCTTGCCTGTGGAAAAAGGTGACTTTGATTATTTGAACTCTCTGAACCCAAATGCTGAATGGCTTGCTCATAAATACAGGAATTTAAGTTTTAGCACCCTCAGCCCTTTTAACCTCCACCATCATCACCATTGCAGAATTAAACAGCCTATTATTCAACACAATAGTTAGCGTGGGTGATTTTTTTAACCTGTTTTCCCTCTCGTTGTCTCTTAATCAGGTAACAGACATTAAAGAAAAGCTAAAGCTCTCTAAAAAGTTCTGGTCAACATTACCCTACACAATCTGCAAGGATGAGCGAGTGACAGCTGGTCCGTCAATCGAGGAGGACTGCTGGAACGGCCACACCAAGGCAAGGTGAGGTGGACCCCCTCTCCACCGCACTCAGTCCAAATCCCGATCTGGCCCGAAGCCATCACAAGACGGAGGGCATTTCACAACACTGATTGTAAGAGTGGAACGGAAATGGGGAGAACAAGAGATCCTCCACACGCAGCTTGTAGCTGAGATTACTTATTGTCCAGGTGCCATTAAAGCCAGAGCGTGAGTCAGGGTGAATGTGCGCAGCGTGTCAGCGTGTGAACGCAGAATATGTTCATTGGTTCAACTCCAGAAGGATAATTTATACTGGGATTTCAAAGAGCTCTTTAGGTCCATTTAGCATCCCTGTGTTGGGACTGACAGCTTGCGAAGCAATTGCACACTGGGGATATCATACTGGGATGAAACAGAAATTGGAATTTCGGCTCCATTTGCTGTTGGCTGGCAAAGCTTAGGGCTATTTGCTGGTGGGGGGGGAGGGGGAAACAAACCCAAAACTGAAAAACAGCCAACGGAGAATAAATGCAGATCTCCTACTTATCTTGTGTAGAAGGCTTGACCTTCCTTATGTTACTTCATCAGAGAAACTGTGGTCATCTGCCCTTGTTTGTGATGAGTTTTCTGTGAGTTTTAATTTTGAAGTTTGCTTGGCTCTGGCTGTGGCAGGGCTGGAGCTGGCAGATGAGCTGGTGTCTCCAAAGGTCCCAGTGTGAATTCATCAGCTGACAGAGGAGAGAATCTGATTATCCCTGCTGAGAAAGAGAGAGGAATTGGCTCATCTACCGCACCAGGGGCAGCCAGGTTTCAGGTCTGCAGTAGTAGCCTGTGCTTTTGGGGAGACAGGAGGAGTGGAGAGGTTTGTGTCTGGTGAGCACTGAACCTGGAAAGCAGTGATACTTTCTGGCACTTAGGGTCTGGAATCTATCTTCCTTTTTCCTGATGATACAAATGAGGCCACACTTAAAAAAAAACCCAACACCAAACAATAACAACAAAAAAACCCCTCTACAACCACCAAACATACCAAAAAAAAAAAAAGTGAGACAAGCATATAAAATATAAAAACTCAGTGAAAATAAGACAACATGGGAAAAAAAAAAATTATTAAATGTCATATTTCATGGATGGATGGACAGATACATAGATAGGTTACACCCACCCTGTCATCTAACCATTTTTATAAGGCAGACACTTTACATGGGGAAGCTTTTCACTGAACACACACCCTTTCTCCTAGCCTTACTGCATAATGCTCAGAAGAATTCATTTTACACACGAGAGCAGAGGACTGTTTGGGATGCTGCTAGTCCGCTTTGAGACACACATGAACAAATCTGTCCAAAAGCACGGGTCACTGCTCAGTTCCTAAGCCCCAGACCCAGAGAAAGCCTCTGGGGACTCTAAGGAGGACAGCTAGGAGGAGTGTCTGATGATTGCAGGGCTCATCACAAAGGAGCAGTGTGAAGAGAGGAAATAAAAACACAGTTTTATCTTCCTTTATAATCATTTCTTGTCAGTGGGCTTTGTAAGATATGACCCCAGGCTGATGTGCTGCAGCAGTTAAATAGAGTTTCCAGCCCCCCCCCCCATCTGGATGCCATGTGTCACATCAGGGTGCATGCATTAACAAGAGGTATATGCTACTCTTTCTGCAAAAGAGCAGTCAAACAAACCTGCTAATACCCCTCCTGATTTCCACGACCAGCGCTAGTGTTTGTACTGTGTCTGGCTGATGGTTTTGAGCTGTCTTCTGCTCCTGCACCGAAGGGGCTGGCACAATTTCCACATTCACTGGGAGTTAATGGAGGTACATTTTATGCATGTAGTTTTTCACCCTCCTTTTGCAGTATTTATCTTAAGAGAAGCCTGGTTATTTTCATGGTGCCTTCTGAGATTCAGTGTTCTGGAGCCACTGAGAACAGCTATCCTCTGCTGATACTCTCCTCAATTAATTTAAGATAGACATTTCACTAGGTGTGGGATCACAGCTTCAAAAGCATCACCTGAAAATGCGGTCTCGGAAGGCCCAACCACTGTTTCATTGTCCAGTTTGCATTTCATATCCATTCACAAAGGAAATGTGTAGTCATAGTCTTAATAACAGAATTCAATAAATGCCTCAGGTGGAGAGAATAGTGAAATTCAAAGTGATACCATAGAATGCCATGGCCTGTATATGACATAATATTGAAAATACTATTGAAAATTACTAGCTTTAGTTGCAAAATCACCTCTCGGCTGGTGATCAAGGACACGTTCTGCAACATAAAGAAAAACCATAAATGCTTCCTTGGTCATACTGATTAGCATCTGATACAAACACCAGTTCACAAGAACAAGGGTCGCAAAATCTGGCCAATACGCATATATCTTGTTTGTGTTCAGTGTCACCTGTCATAAGCACCTCTGTGCTGTATGAAGTTATATTTTAAATTCCAGAGAATATTACAACAACTCATGATAGTAAAAAAAAGGAGATTTAGCCACCTGCTGTTTTCCTTGACATTAATACTACCAATAAGAAGACATCATGATGTTGGCTACTGTTGGGAAAAGAGATGGTTGTTGGGTTTTGATCAGATGCTGTGGTGGTATAAAGAAACTTTAAACTGCCAGATAGACATTACGCCTCATGTTTCATTTTGCACATCATCTTTTGCTGCTTTTACAGGAGAAAAGAGTTACAAATCTGAGATCACTGAACATGAAAGCTAGGCTTTCTCATGAGAGAGGCATTACACCAAGGTCACTTGTGGTTATTAGACTCCCCAGATATCACTTTGCCACCATGATTAATTTACAGTGACACCAGGTCGCCAAATGAAGGTCACCAATTCACGAATAATCATGGGGTAACGGAGTCATCCATTTGGCATTCTGGAAGGGTGCACTTGGCTCGTTGCTGATCCTGTACGAAAAATGATTTTAATCAGGTCACATAAGATAGAAACCAAGTGCTGTGGAAATGGGAAAACATTTATTAAGTGGATGAATCTCTTTTTAAAAAAAGATCCATATTAAAAATAATAATAATTGATACTTCAGACTAAGTGCCTTTTTAGAGAGATGCCCAACCGGACTCCCTGATCATATCTGTATTCACAGAAGAACTTGAACATAATTTTATGTTTAAAAAATTAATGTCTTCTGCCAGATGCAGAGAGACAGATTTTTTAAGACATTTAGGATCTAAAAAATATCATTAAGACCCAACTTCAAAAGTTTTAGTTCCTTCCCTCTACACAAATAAATTCTTAACAACAGCTGATAATCTCTTCACCGTTCTTCAGAAATTAAGGAATTTTCCCAGGAATGGTGAAATTCAGGCGTTAGGAGTTAAACTAAATCCAAGGTATTAGTCCTTGAATAAGTGACTTCTACAGAAATGAGAACAGTAACCAATCTGCAGCCATTCCGGTGGTCAGAAGAACCTTGAATTGCTCCAACCAACTCAGCCAAGTTGTTTCAACCAAACCACGTGAGCCATTGTGCTCATGCACTATCATCCTGGCGCTCATGCTCACCAGAGCAATAGACCCACTAGTATGTCTTTGCTCTGGAAGACTGTAATCTATGAAAAAGGTGAGACCTGCATTCCTTTCCTTGAGGAACCTATACTCCTTGAGTACAATAAAGAAGAAATAGAATTATATACGAGACACAGTAATTATAAACAGGGGAAAAATAGAGAAAGGTAAGGAAAAATGAACAGTACTTTTCAACGTCTAGGTCAAAACTACAAGGTATTTCATCAAAGTGAACACAAGATGGTGTCTCAGCTGGTCTAAAATTTTCTTATTCTCCTGCCATAAGTAGTTGTCTTCCTACTTCCCTGGCAGAGACCCTTTGATTCCTGGTTAAATTCAGGTCAGACAAGACTCACCAGATCAGTGCCTGCCCTGGGAACATTGCTCATTGCTGACCAGCAAGGCTTGCAATGAGAGTGAGTTGAATGTCCTTTGCGTGGAGGTAGGCAAAGATAACCGTATAGCACCACCAGTGAAAGTGTTTGAATTAACCACTTCTCCGTAGGTGCAAAATCTGGCTATTATTAATTGATGGCTCTAGCTGATTTTTTCAGCTTCTTCCTTCCAACAAACTGGCAGATGAGCCATTTTCTCCTTCTCCTTCCATTTCCTCAAGTTTTTCTCCAAGGTAGAGAAAATAAAAATAAAAGAAAAGAAAATAAAAATAAAAGAAAATAAAAAACAAACCACCCTACTGAAAATACCCTATGGTGATTACCTCCTGAGCAAACAGAATCAGAGGAGGTGATCCAGTTAGCCAAACAAGCCAATTTTCCACTGTACTTATCTTTCTGGACCAGATGTGACTGCCTACCCCCAAGCCCAGCCTGAGTAAGTCTGTGTTGTCTTTTGTACTCTGTTGCCTACAATTCTGTGTACCTGCAAAACCCCAGTACTGGCTAGGTGGGATGCTCCAGTCGTACAGTAAGAAGCTGCTGCGGTAGCAAAATACAGAGAACACTGCCCTTTAATGCAGATGTCTTTTAAAAACCAAACGATTCCTCCTTTTTTTGTTGAGTTTTTTTCATAGCTACAACCTTTATATAAATGATCTGAAAGATTCATCGCTCATTTTTAGACTTGAAAAGGAAGCAGATACCTTGGAACATTAACCGGATATTAAAAAAAAAAAAAAGAAAAAGTGGTTTTAAATATGCTTTGTGGTTGCTTGGCTATGATGTGCCAAAAGACATCTTTGTTGTGTCTGCTGAGACAAGCAAGAACTGTGGAAAGGCTAAGAGGAACAGAAAGCATTAATATTTTAGAAAACAATGTAAATTACACTAAAATCCTGACATAGCTGAGCAAGGAGCAAACAGCAGAAAACAAACAGTATTATTCAGCTTCTCTATACTCAGAGGGATAAGAAAGCTGATTTTTTTTCTTGCTAGGTGGATGCAAAGAACAGACACTGATTCAGGTTGGCACTTCTCTTCTTTTCATTTATAATGGGCATACAGTTCTTGTAATGGCCAGGCGTACAAAGAGATCATTAACGAGAGTAGAAGCAGCAGCAAAGCTTAAAATTCACAGGGGTGTCTCCACTTACAGAACTGCAGCAAAAGCAGCTGTGTTCAACAACTTTGCCCAGCCAGCAACAAATCTTCTGTCAAAAAGTGGTCCCAAGACATGGCTTCCAATTCGGTGTGACTTAACCCTACTCCACGCACATCAAAATGCTGTTGTCAGAACATGTGCTGGGCTGCCTCTCAGAGGCTGTCACTCATGAAACACCTTGGGCTGCGTGTTCCCATATCTCTACCAGGTCCTGTAAAGAAAGGAAAACAATTCAAAGATATTTACATTCGCGATAGGCTTTTCTGCCTTTTTTTTCTCCTGAGGAAGCAGGTGAACTAGTTCAGTAATGAGGGCAGAATCCAGCTTCACATTCAGACATGTAAATTCATGCATTTAAATACTGATGCCTGTGGGTGAGACAGTAAGGAGTCATTTGTGTTGCCCAAGTGAGGGTTGTGTCATTTGAGACTCTCCAGCATGTCTGAGATGAGTATGGCAGAGAACACTACCTCCCATCTGGACCAGAGCCTGGGCAAGAATTGCTAGAGCATTTTAAAAATCACCACTGTTAAGTTGCCTGAACAAGACTCCCAATACCCTGTCAGTGTGATCAATGGGGCAGTTTTCGACTGCTTAAGCACACTTACCTACTGCTATGTGAGATGGTCTGCATAGTCAAGACACCTTCATGGAATAAGACACTGGACCCACAGGTTATTCAAACCCTACTGGAGGGGCAGTAGGACACCAAGCAGCCTATTCCTCAGTGGTTAAAATCTCACCCAAGACTCAGTTCATCTGCCTAAAGAAAGAAAATATAATTTTAGGTGCCCCAGGTGTACAAGACCTTCCCCTCAAGCCTGTAGGTATGATGCAGGACCTATGGGAAAGCCACACCTTTCAAGGCTGGTAACAAGAAGACAGGGAAAAACCAACAGCATTCAAATGGCACCAGATGTCTGTGTTTGTGCAACTAAATCCCCGCAGATTAAATCTAATGAACTAGTCATCTGGCCAGAGGCACATGGGACGCCAACAGCTGTCCCCACTCCGCTGACAAATAAACTCCTGACTAGTTTTGACTAGATCTTTTGTTGACTAGATCTGGCAAGAGTGGGACTCTGCTCGTATGCAGACGCTTGCCTTTAGACTTAACAAATTTTGTTATCTGCATAAGCCTAAATTTGAATCTTCAACCTAATTCTTTTGTTCTTATGCCCTAAATGCCAACAGGTTCATTTGCCTGGGAATTTGAGTATTCACCTAACCTTTAGGCAATCATAAGGTAATGGAATTCTTGTGACCCACACCCAGTATGGCTCCCTTACACACCTAGGTCAGGTGCACTGGACCATTCTTCTGAGATGTTAAGCCCTTCCATGCCAGGAATGCTTTGGGGATCACCAGATCCTGAGGCAGATGCTATGGGGTAGGTGGCAGTTTGACGCAGTCACTTCTCACGACTGAATGAGCTGGCCCGTTTAAAGTTAGATGAGCTTCAGGAAGACATCAGATCCACACTGGTCAGAGTGCAGAATGCGAACCTTAATAAAAAGCACACACCAGAGCACTCTCGAACTGCTTTATATTTCCAAACTAACTCGTAATGTGTCCATATAGAAAGCTCACTAAGAAGTCAGTGCATTCTTCTTTCATTATTGACAATAGGACATGATGAAATCAAACATAAATCATCCAGAGAAAGCCTGTGAACTGCCGTTCAGAGCTAGCCATAGCTTCTCTTGGATGGCTTGCAATAAAGAGCAGCTAACCCTTCATAAACAGGGAAAGCAATCCACACGAACGCTCAACAATTTCAAATTACTTCTAGCTCCTAACAGCTATGGCCGCTGTCATGATGCTGGCAAGATGGACATCCTCTCTGAGCCAGTAGGGCAATTCTTACATTCTTACTTTTTTTAATCAACTGCACCTTGAAATTGCTGATTTACTTCTAGGCTGAGTAATTTATCTACAGCAGCCATTTCATTTGTAGAGACGTGTGACAGATGGAGGTGCTGTTCTTTTGCAGCCCAGAGCTTCCCTGTGTGCCAAGGTCTCTGTCCTGCTGCCTCCAGGCAGCTCTGCAGAATTATTTCCAATTTCTATCTTTGGTGATTCATAACACTGCAGTCTGCAGTGCTCCAGACTAGGGGAGTCAGCTCTGTATTCTCACCGTAGTTAAGCCTGTTACCACAGGAGTCTGGATGGGATCCCTACAGCATTGTTATTTCTCGTTATGGTACTAGCGAAACAACAGGACATGCAGTTTGGGGCTGGGTATTTTTGACAGTCATGTTTGGTTCTTATATGTTCACACTCCCCCAGGATTATTTTCATGTAAGCTTTCAAAGGCCACTGATGATAAATGAGTCTCATCTTGCAAAGCGAGTACCTATTACGATGAGACTAAACCCTTCTCTGGTGCAGCAAAGCAGTTTTCATTTGTGAACCTCCAGCAGCAATACAAAACTTATTTTCCATTATCCATGACTTTGGTAGAGAAAGTCCCTTCTTCTCCCTTACTTTCATTTTTATTTTTATGGAATATATTTATTTTCCAAACCAAAGCACTGGCACCAGCACCAGATTTGAATATTGATAGGGAATTGGGCTGACACAAGTGAGAGTGAAGTAAAATACTCTTAAAACTATATCTGGTACCAGACATCATGAAAGTTGGCTGCAAGTAGGCTAGACCATGCTATCGTTACTCACTGAGCACATGCCCACACAAGGAGTCCCACAGACATCAGTGGGATAGCCTGGTATGCAAGCTAATTGACAACAAAATAGATCATATCCTGATAATGAACATGAACAAAGGGTAGATCTGTCCCAAAACTCTTGCAATCTGAACATGAGACAAAGACAGTAAGTAAATAAAGACAGATGAGAGAGGGAAACAGTGATACACTATTTTCTCAGGATACCTTGCCAGCACAGAGAAATAATGTCAGCCTGTTATCAGCCTAGCAGCTGTAAAATGCACAGATCATTTTTAACAGAGGCTCAAAGTAGGAAAAAAAGGTCGCTTTGCAGATGCCTGTAAGGAGAGTTTCCTGAGTACAAAGAGCAGCAGGGGACAAAGTATGAGTATTTACCAAAAGGTGATGAGGACTTTTGCCATAGGATGATTGGAGGCACAGGCTGATTTTTGTAGGAGAGAGAGACCTGCAAAAGCATGCTTGCTACCTGTGAGCAGCGTAAGACTGCATTTGCCAAGGTCAGAGAAGGGAATGCTGCAGTAATCAAGAAATTATAAGCCTGAATAAAAAATTCAGATGTGTGGATGGGTAGGAAACACCCTACCATAAATACGTTATGCCCAAAACATGTGGGAGAGGCAAGTATAGCCTGTTTGTAAGGAACAAGGACCAAATCAAAGAGAATACTGGGCTTTGGTAAACTCACAATGCTGTTTATGGGCTGGGATGTAGGCTAGGCGGAAGATGTTCATGGTGGTCAAAAAAAGGGATGCAAGGAAGAACTGGAGAAGAAAATTAATTATTTCCTTTAAACAAGGAGGGTGATAATGCCTCGAGGTAGCCTCCAAAACTATCTCAGAACAACAAATTCACCACATATAACAAAGGACTTCATCTTTTTTAAGCAGAAAGAAACAAAACCAGAAGAACACACTGTTAGATGCTTAATTTAGTGTGCAACTATTCATATGAATAGAGCATCTGAACATGCAGCGACTTAGTGCTAGCTGGTGAACCTCTTCCATAGTTCACAGAGCCAGTGCACTTGCTGAGGAATAGTGGAGAATTAGGCAGTTGGATAGCTTAAATCCTTTCTGCTCTCCGTGCAGCTGAGCTAGTAAAAAGAGCCTTTAGAATCTGTAAAATTAAAAACCATATTTTTAAAATGGTTTCACTGGAGCTGTTTAAGAACTGTGTAACCGTTAGCAGTGTCAAATTGCTTAGCACAGCATTTACTGTACCGACTTTTATTTCTGAAACTTACTGCATTTTAAACTGATCCTTCATCCTGCTATGTAGATACTTGCCTGAGATTATGAACGATGGCTTGACCAACCAGATCAACAATCCAGAAGTAGATGTGGACATCACAAGGCCAGACACCTTCATTCGACAACAAATCATGGCCTTACGTGTCATGACCAACAAACTGAAGAATGCGTATAATGGAAATGATGTCAACTTCCAGGATACAAGTAAGAAACCTTTTACTGTCATTTAATAAGTATATTTTGGAACACGTTTCTAAATCGGTTCCATTGGAATTTATTTCTTTGGTCTTTGTGATCTGTGCTGCTGACAATACAAAAACCAGCCTTTTTTTGGTCCCATGAAATTCCAGTTTTATATTTGTCTCTTATGCTTCTCTTGCTTATCTTCATGTCAAATGCATCAAGACACTGAGGGCTTTCCATAATGCCAGCAGTCTGCTCCTTTTTCAGAAGGGCATGTAAGAAATAATTAAATCACAACGGCTTTCATTTGGATGCTTTACTGAATGACAGTTAGCACCATTAATACTTTCCTGTTCCCGAGGTGTTCATCCCCATTGGGATGCCAGGTGGGATGGGAATGGGGAAAAGGGATGAACACTGTAACCCATGGCCCTCATGTTCTTTCCCTCTCCCCCTTGTGCCAGGTGATGAAACCAGCGGCTCAGGCAGTGGAAGCGGCTGTACAGATGACATCTGTCCCACCGAGTTCGATTTCGTCACCACCGAAGCACCTCTGGTCGACTCCGACAGGAGGGAGGTGGAGGCTTCAGCCACGCAGCCTGGCCGGTCACTGCAGACGTTGCTCGTTGTCTTCATCAGCCTCCTACTGCAGAGACAGTGGAGATAATCCTGGATCTGGCCAGAGAAACTGTGTTTTAGGTACAGAAACAACCGACTTCCTTCTTTTCTTATACTCTTGGAGAATGGACCATGCCACAAACACTTGCAGTTTTCTACGAGAAGAGAGCAGTACTGCAACCTGCCTCCCTTTTTTGTTTTCCCAAAGAGTACCAGGTGCCAGGCTGAACTGCTTCCTGCTTTTTTCAGATATCTCTGAAGACAATATCCACTCTTGAGAGAATTCTTTCTCAAACCTTTATTACATGAAACGTTCTGAGCTTCATTTCCTTTTATGCTGCAAAAGTAAAAGGATCTTACAGCGTGTGGGTTTTTTCCCCTAACGAGAAAAAAGAGGGGGGAAGAAACCAAGAAAACAGTTTTCTTTCTGAATCAGGCCTGACTCAAGGCTGCTGCATTTCAACAGAATATCAACGAAATAAAAAAAGACAAGAAAGGAACAAAAAAAAAATGCAACCGTTCTTCACTGACAGCCAGGTTTCCTTTAAGAACTTCTGTAGGATGATTCAGGTCATCAGAATGATCGTTGCTATAGGGAGGAAGTCTGGATTTTTTTCCATCACAAAAGTATGTCTCAATGGTGAATGTCTTGCACTCCATCTGCCAACCACATCAGATTGGTATGAAGGTAGAGAAGCTGAAAAATAAGTTTATCTTTTAGTATGATAGCAACTCCACTAGCTTCAGAATATCATGTTACAGTTGTTTAGGATTTAAATCTTAATACCCAGTAAAAAATTGAGTAGTAGCACGATTTCACATAGCTTCTTTTAGTGTTCATCCATGTTATACAATTGGCACAAATTTCCACTTCGCTCACCATCAGCCGTGGTGGTAATGCTAAACAACACTCCTGACAAATCCCTCCTCAAGGGTTCGGACAGAAAATAATCTCTTGTGATATAATTGCTTTCTTTTTCTCACTGTTCTGACATCAGTTAGGACTTTCTGCTACTATGTTCGTTATCCTACCAAGACAGCAATTCTCTAATGGACTAACAGCGACTGGATCAATAGTGTGTTACACATCTAACTACATCTTTCGTATCATTTAATCTCAGTATCACAAGGATTTCTTCTGCAAAATTTCAGAACAAAAAAAAATATATAGTACTGACATGGAGATTTCTTTCACTTTTTTAGTCTTAGTATGATCATCTATTTTTATATATATAAATATATATAAATCACAGATTTTAACTTCTTAATTACAAGCTCAGGGTTGACACTTCTTTGTAAGAAAAAAAAATGTTCGGTCAACCAGCTCTTCTTCTTTTGTGCTGCTCTGAAAAGTAACCCTTTAATGACTGGTGAGCACGAAAATCAAAGAAGAGAATTTTTTACATATCCAGTTGTCCATTTCTTAACAGGTTTGCAGCGTGGGGGAGAACACCTCTCTCATATTTATGTGTTTGTGGGGAGCATGTGAGTTTTTATGATAGGCCCAGAGAACGAAATGGATGTTATTTGTGATGGCAATTGTACTCTCAGATTCTTCAAGGATACATTGCTTTAATAGTCATTGCCTAAATGACCATTGTCCTGGAGACAGTTACCCTAATTTGCATCTGGTTGTAAGACTGGTGGAAGCTGTTTAAATTCTGGACAAATGAGTGTCAACAATAGAACATCAAAACCTTCCCTCTTCCATCAGCCACAGATGAGGGGCTTCTGTGACAATTCTGCATGGTGTTGAAATGATTCACCGGAAATTTATTTCCTGACTCTTAACGGTGACTCGGGAAATGGTATAGACAAATTATGGAAACACTGTAAAGCCAGCCAACCACACTACAGTTTAACAGCAGAGCAGGTAGTTCATATCCATTGCAATCTCTTTTTCTTGTCAAATTATAATTAGCTATCGATTTAGGCATGGAATTAAAGTAGAAAGCACACAGCACATTAGGATAAAGTATACTTAAGCACTTTTATCAAAAAGTATTTACAAACTAATAACAAAAAGCATAGGTTTTGAGCCACTTGTATGCCATTTTTTCCCCCCATTTGTTTGTTTAATTGAAAGTATAATGATCTATTCTTCTTGGCCCAGTGTAGTGTGCAGGAGTCTCTGGCTAGGTGTCCAGATCGCGCCTGTCTTACACCACAGTAGCCATGCTTCCTGCTTCTCTGATGGTTCCCGCCAGCGCAGACCTAGTGGTTCAGCATTTAATGTCTTCAGTAAGTTAAACAGCAGAGCTTAAGCCAATTCTCACAGCCTTTTTCATCGGCTCTGGTACAGCAGGTACCGAGCAGAGGATCTTTTAATTTTTTCCTCCTGAACTTCCACATGCAGTTTTCTACAAGGAGAGCCTTCTAAAGCTCTCCCTTGGTCCATCTCTTTCTACCCATATACACACCCTTTCTATGCTTCTCCTCCTCAGCAACTTTGTTTCAGGACAAGTTGAATGTCATTTTGATTTATCCTGTTGTGTGTTTATTCAGTGGTAACCGATACTATTTCCATCTGATTATTCTGAGTCTGAAAGCTTATTGACAGGTATTGAAGTTCAAGCCTTCCGAGGCAAGTCCTCTGTTGTACCAGCTCCCCATTGCTGCTGAGGACCTGATGGACTCCTAGGGTCTCTGTTAGCCTCAGCCCACATTTAGGTGATCTGACGACTGTTTTCAGCTAGTGCAGCCAAACCAGGTGTCTAGTGTGCTCTCTGCTATTTGTAGAGCTCCATGGACTCGTGAGCAAGGAGTAAGAGGGATCTCTCAGAACTAGGGGGCTTGCTGAAGGCTATTCTCACTCGATGAGATTGCGGAGAGGCCCTGCTCTGCTTGGACTGGATCTTACAAACTGCCAGTGAACCAACCAACCAGGGTCATCTTTGCTGAGATGTGATTGTTTCATGGGAGTTCTGCCAGAAATTTATGTCTTCCATATTATTTCTCCTCTTATTTTCCTACTATGCATGGTGATGTCTTATCAGGAGATGGAGATGCCTTTGCATGAGGTATTAGGCATACATTTCTTTAATAGTCCCTAAAGGTTGAATACTCTGTTCATACATTGCATTTTTCTGGGATTAAGAGAGCTATTAAATTTACAGAGCAAATGAAATTGGGAATGAAGGAAAGAAAAGAAAGAGCATTCATGTTCATAAATGCGAGAATTTACATAATTTCCAATGCTTCTATTTGCACATGCTTTACCTCCAATAACTCTTCTTACAAGGTAATTTTTTGCTGTGCCGAAATTTAAATATTTCTCTTATGTTAGCAGCCAGTAAAGTAAGAAATTATAAAGAAGACAATTACTTGTTCAAGAAAGAGAACATAAGTCCTAAGGAAAAATCCTTTGATTGCGTAAACCCTTTATGGTGTGCAATACAGAAGTTCTTAACATTTTATGTTCTTTTAAAGTGGAGGCTACTAAAAAATTAGATGCAGTTAATAACATAGCCAGTGCTGTAGACCCCTGTGAGGTTTTCCATTTTAATATTAATTAAATTGCTTTTGCATGGTCCTCATATTTTTAGCGTTTGGTCTACTGCAGATTTTTTTACTGATGACTACACACCACTGTAACTGCAGCGCAGGCTGCCTGAACTATGGCTAAACTTAGGCATTTCAAAAAAGACAGTCGGAAAGAATTGCAGAAAGAGTAATTTCCTGCTAAAGAGGAAGAGCAGAGGAAAGAGCAGAGGAACCTGTGCCTCAGGGTTCTGGTAAGGGCTGATCTATCCCAGTTCCTTAAGAGGCATTGCAGAGCTCTGTCCATGGAAAGCTCCCAAAATCTGAGTCTCAGCTATACACATCATCCCAGTTCTGCAGGATTTTTAGGAAGGATGATTCCCACAGGTGTGTGAACCAGTTTGAGCTGCTTCCATGCAAAATGGCTGTGAGCTAGAGCTGTTCTTGGGAGGTGGACTGTGCATACAGGGTCTCAGTAGGCAGCAGTTTCCTTCAGTTTACTGACCAATTCTGAACCATTCTCAAATGTAACTATACTTATTCACTGAGACTTATATTACTTCAACATGAAAAATAAATTACAGCACTGATGCAAGTTGTGTTTTTTGTTTTTAATTTACTTCTAAACATAATCCATTAAAAATGAATACAGAAAATTTTAGAATTATTCTGCTGGGAAAATCAGGTTTCACAGATTTCATTATGGAAAAAAATACGTGGACAGACTTCAAATATTAAGGAGACATCCACATTTCAAAGACCAAAAAGCTATCTTTGCTAAATTTACTATATTAGCCCATAAGTGTTCGAACCTGCTAGATGAGAATGAGTAGAGTTAACCACAGTGAAATATTACATAGAATTGCAAAAAAGAGCTTAATTTAAAAGGGAAATTCGTCAGTCAAAGGCTAAGTCTGAGCTGTGGGGCTGAGAATAGGTTGCCAAAACATAGCAGACACAGCAGTGCCTACGTCCAAGAAAATTAGGGCAAGTGATGCACTGAACAGGGCAATGTTTCCAGTACAGCTACTCACATGGACTGTGAGGATCATATTAACATGTGCCATTATGACCCTTTTTTGATAAAACAATGATAAAGACCAAAGTACCGCGGTAATAGGGTACACAAAAGATAAACAATATGATAGTAACCATCTTCTCATCAGTTAAACAGCATAGGAGACCTAATGGAGAACCAAGAACTTTGAAACTGATTTTTAAAATAAAATTCTAGCACCAGGAAAGAGAGATGGCCTCTAATTAATTCACTGACAACATCTTCCAACAGTCTATCCTTTTCAAATCCATTGACCAATATTACCAATCACTTGAGAGTAATTTGCCAACATAAGTTGAAGTGTTCACTTACAGTACTTACTACTTTTTCTACTAAACTAAACATCGTTTACAGTTCTGATTGTGCATCATATGTGATCGTACAACAAGCTTGTGCCTTGCACCTGTGTGAAGTCCTGTCCCTGCAGCAAAGCAAATGAGAGCTTTGTCATTAACAAGGATTTTGACTATAATCAGGGACAAAAAAATGTCTTTTTTTCTGGAAGCTATTCC